AAATTCAAAATTCAAACTTCAAAATTCAAAATTCAAAATTCAAAATTTCAAATTCAAAATTCAAAATTCAAAATTCAAAATTCAACATTCAATCTTTTCTCAAATTCGTATCGGAGTTACTTCACAAGCGACATCCGAAGTCAGTCAGAGTTTTCTGTATTTGTATATTCTCTTCAAAACCGGAAAGCTGTAATGCCACAGAATACTTGCCTGCTAGTTTTAATAATTCTTGTTTTTATTATTAGTTATTTTATGTATAATCAATTAATTTAATACCATCAGTCTTCTAGATAATATACGTGATTATAGAGTATTACAATGGTATTACCAATCACCGGAATTCGCGTAATTTGTGCCCTTGATACCACATGTGCTAATACATCAATAATACTTTTATCTCGTAGAAGTCATAATAATAATTTTCTCAAACATGCTCGGAAATGTTTAAATTACTTTCAAAAAACTAGCACGGGAAGTTAGTAATTTATGGACCGTGAGACTTCTTCCCGGCCAAGGCCTGCAAAGTAAGTATACTGTCCACTTCTCTAAACTTTTAAATCTACCTACTAATAATAAAGTATTTAAATAAAACTATATATAATACACCTCCTACAGCCAACTGCCCAGTGTTCGTAATTGCGAGAATTAATAGTATAGATTGTGCTCCACCTAATTTAAAACGAGATGTAATATTAGCTATGGAAAAATTGTTGCTGGCTATGAACAAAGTAAGATACATGAAAACTTATGACACTTTCATGCACTGAAGAACCACTTGAATCACATTATTAGAAGTTCAACAGACTACTATAGACAGGTCCTTGCAAAAGAAGTCCGTTATCTACCCAGGATGCTGCGAGAGGCCATTGAAATTAAAAAAACATCCTAATTTCAACAGGGAAGATGGTTTCTCCGTACCACCAGTTTGGGATCCAGTATTTCCTCTAATGAAAAATCCCAAACAGACATAAGACTGCAGTACTAATTAATATGTTTTAGTTTATTCTAATTTCTATTAATAATTAATAATAAATTGAACTTCATAAAAATTCATTCAATAAAATAATTTGTAAAACTTAATATAGCGTAAATTGGAATGTTT